TGGGAAAATGGTTCATATCAAGCAGCTATCATACACTTTATCAGCTGTTCGGGCACTCTTTGCAAGGTTGGGTTGGAAGTAAGCGTGTAATGTTCTGGGCTTAACTGACATAGCTAACGTGTTTAAACGTTGACGTATCTCAAATGCTTTTTGCAGACACGCCCCGTAAAGGGTATCTCCCTAGAAGAGTCAGTTAAATTAATCCAGGTCGCGGAGAGGGCACGGCAGGGCTGCCTGAGAGCAATGTTCATGAAGCAGATCTTCCTTCGAGAACAGAGAGCCAAGCACGCCAGGGTCCTCGGCGACAAGATAACAGACGTGACGACTGCTGCACTGCACATCCAGAAGGTGTGAACATGGGCCTGGAGTTGGGGACAAGGTGTCTAACACAGCAAGTGATAGGTCCCAAGGTTGTGGTCATCTCCAAAACTCAGAATTCCAAAGTCCTACCTTTGGTAGAACTGGATTAAATTCCAGAAAGACTGATTATCTTACTCTGGAGAAACCATTCACTAAGCTTGGTCGTGTTTTAACATTTTATCATACAAAGGAATAAAACACAGGTCGTTTTCTACAAGTGTCTTTAAAGATCATTGATAATCATTGGAAAGAGGTTGCTAAGAATTCAGTGAGGATATATGTCCTTAATGAATTTTAGAAATACATTTACACACAAACAGGAGACATGGAAAGGTTAAGACTTGCTAGCTTGCTGACATGTGTGCCATTCCCACAAAATTCCGGTGACTGTCACCAGTAGCCAGAACCTCGATGTTCCCCTGCGAGTGGGCCTCGAGGTTTCTTTCCCTCTGTCAGACGAGCACCATTGATTATACCCCATCTTTTTTCAAATGGAAACCATGTTGCTTACAGGAAAATGCAAAAGATGGCAGTATGACACAAATTAGAATTAGGCTAGAGAGAAAGTAAGCATAAGGACATGAAATGGAGGGCCGGCCGAGTGGCTCAGTTGGTTAAGAGCTCGCTCAAGAGTTTGAGCTCTGGGCAACAGCGGTTCGAGTCCCGGCCCGAGCTGAGCAGCCACTGAGCTGCCAACAGGTGGCAGGATGACTCAGCTAAAAAAAAAAAACATGTAAAGGACATGAAATGGAGCTGGAAGACCAGGACTGTGTCCCACTTGTGCCTGAATGGGAGTGGAGGGGACACAGATCAGAGACTGCTCTCTGTCAAGTTTCTCTGGGGATGCAGAGTCTTAAACAGGCGTCTGAGTTTAGAGCTTGAGTTGTACAATTCTTGGATGTCACTGTGTTGTATCTCCCCCACATTACTGCAGAAGCTGTTTTTTGAAAACCATGAATNCTGGCCGAGTGGCTCAGTTGGTTAAGAGCTCGCTCAAGAGTTTGAGCTCTGAGCAACAGCGGTTCGAGTCCCGGCCCGAGCTGAGCAGCCACTGAGCTGCCAACAGGTGGCAGGATGACTCAGCTAAAAAAAAAAAAACATGTAAAGGACATGAAATGGAGCTGGAAGACCAGGACTGTGTCCCACTTGTGCCTGATTGGGAGTGGAGGGGACACAGATCAGAGACTGCTCTCTGTCAAGTTTCTCTGGGGATGCAGAGTCTTAAACAGGCATCTGAGTTTAGAGCTTGAGTTGTACAATTCTTGGATGTCACTGTGTTGTATCTCCCCCACATTACTGCAGAAGCTGTTTTTTGAAAACCATGAATTGACACTCTTAGATCTAGCCCCACGCTTCCGCAATCTAGACATGTCTCTTGAAGAAACCCAGCTAGGGGAACCTAACAGGTATTATAGGCCATTTCTTTTTTTGTCCCTCAACTTCATGGAGTTTTAGTTGGCATATAACCTTATGCAAGTTTAAGATGTGTGTCACGATTTGATACATGATTATAAAATGATTGCCCCAGTCAGGTTAATCAGCATAGCCATCACCTCACACAATCACCATGTTTTCTTATAGTGAGAACGTTTAAGATCAACTCTCAATCTTTAGGTACACAATACAGCAGTGTTAACTACAGTCACCTGCTGTACAGTAGATCCCCAGACACATCCCCAGAACTTACTCATCTTATAACTGGGAGCTTGTCCGTGTGACCACCTTCACCCATGCCCCTCACTCGCCAGCCCTGGGCAACAGCACATCCACTGTCTGTTTCTACAGGTTCAGTATTTTCTACAGATTCCATGTGTAGTGAGAGTGTCCTGTATTTGTCTTTCTCTTTCTGACTTACTGCCCTCAAGGCCCACCCAGGTTGTCTAAACTGGCAGGATGTCCTTTTTATGGCTGAATAATATTCCATTGTATGTATATAGTCCATTTTCTTTATCCATTCATCCATCAACAGACTCCATGGCTGTTTCCATGTCTTGGCTGTTGTGAGTAATGCAGTGGACATGGGGGTGCAGATCTCTCTCTGAGAGACCAAGTTCATTTCCTTTGAATGCATATAACCAGCAATGGGATTGCTGGATCATTTGGGAGTTCTGTTTTTAATTTGTTTTGAGGACCCCCCCCCATGCTGCTTTCCATAGCGGCTGTGATTTACATCCCCACCAACAGTGCACAGGGGCCCCGTGTCTCCTCACCCTCACCAGCATTTGTTATTCCTTGTCTTTTCGATGATAGCCATTCTGACAGGGGTGAGGCTGTGGCTGGGTCCGCAGTCTTTGCTGTCAGGGTGGGCACGTGTGGATCCTGTGTGGTCCCTGGGTGGAGGGGTGCCCCCAGTACCCCTTGCTCAGTGGGGTGGCACTGGGACAAGGATCTGCGTCAGGGTCCACAGTGGGTCCTCAGACAGCAGTACAGTCCGCTTCTGTGATCCAACCTTTCTTCAGAAATTTTGCCTGTGATCACAGAAAAATATCCCATCAACACACACACGTGCATGACCTTCAGTGCCTAGTCATTCTATCGCTTGGGACGCACAGTTTATACGAGAGAAACGGTATGACAGTGAATGTATTAAACAAGTCACCATTTTTTTGTTTTTAGGTTTGGCGAGGTTTCCACCAGTGTAAGAAAACCGAGAGACAGAGAGAAGAGGAAATGGTATTCCTGGGGATGGTAAGTTTTCTTGTGCACAGAGTGTGCATCTGGTTTATTTAGAGACAATAGGATCTGTAAGATTGTGTCTTCCTTAGAGAGTTCTTGAGGGCAGAAAGGAAATAAAAATAAGTGACCTGTGACTTAAGAGGATGGGATCATCCGTATTCAGCAGGAGCCTGCCGGGGGACCTGGAGGGAGCAGGGGTGCATCCATCTGCACATCTGTTAGAACCGCGGACTGCTCCTCGTGGACCAGGCTCTGAGCTGCTCACAGTACGTGCTCCCGTCTGAACTCCTCAGTGCACTTGACAATGTGGTCATGACAATGGGTTTGCGCTGATGTAGCTGCCTTTTGGGGCAATCTCTATGGTAACTACTGAATCAGAGTTGAAAGGGTGTGTAGTTACCTACTGCTGTGTAACAGCATCACCACAAATCTAGCCGCTTACACACACACCTTTGTTTTTTCAGTTTCGGTGGCTGAGGCGTCTGGCGCATCTTAGCTGGGTCCTCTGCCCAGGGTCCAGGTGTCTGCTGGGGCTGGGGTCCCATCGGAGGCTCAGTGTGGGAAGGATAGGCTTCCCAGCCGTGTGGTTGCTGGTGGGATTCAGCAACTTGGGGGCTGTCAGATAGATGCCTCAGTTTTTTGGGCAGCTGTTGGTTGGACGCAGCCCCAGCTCCCCGCCATGAGGGCTCTCCTGTAGCCCCCTTGGTGGCCACTTGCTCCACCAAGGCCAGCAAGGAAACGAGTGGCTGTTACAGTCTTCCGGAGTGATCGTGGAGGTGGCATGTTCCGATTGGCTGCAAGCAGGTCCTAGGGTTCGCCCACGCTCAGGCAGAGGGAGGCACAGGAGGGTGTGAGCCCCAGGATGTGGGGGTAACCTGGGGCCGCAGTGGAGCATCTGCAGGAAGGAGTTTTCCCCATTACCTGCATCACCAAGTCCAAGGCCTCCGAGGAGGGGCGTCTGCCGGGGCCTCTCCTGAGCACAGCACCCTGCTTCCCAGGACCCTCTGCTTCACTCTGGAAGCTTCTTCCTGTCATTCAGCTGCAGTCTTTCTCCCTGCGGTCCCCACGGACTGGCTGTGGTTCAGTCCCCGGGGTAATGGAGAATGTGTCTGGTCCCCCTTTCATGTGAAAACCCTTCAGTATTTGAAGGCAGCTCTTGAGTCCCCTCCGCCGACTCTTTGCAAAGCACATTGCCACCAGAGATGGCGACCATGACTCGGTGGGCCTTGTGGATTGATGTGCTCAGGTTTCAAAAGAGGACATTGTAATCTTTTTGAAAAGAAAAGGAAAGAAAGCCTATGGAACCTGTTACAGCACTGAGTTAAGGTATGTTGGGGTGAGCCTCATCACTGGGCGCCCCACATTGAATGCCCAGGTCAAAATATTGAAACAGTGACATTGATAAATACTATGACTGAATCTTTGAAAATGCTAATCGCGTACAAAGCTCTGGTGAGGCCAATCAAGAAATGAAGGGAAAAAAACCACAAATGCACCGTTTACAAACACCAATACTAATAGGTTTAAAAAATGTTAGACAATACCGTGAATAACTATGGCAATAAGTTAGAAAATCTTGAATAGAGAAGATTATCTAGGGAAGTATGAGTATCGAAACGGACCAAATAGGTAAAAGACCTCCATAAACCAACCCTAATTTCAGATATGGTAAAGTGTGAAAAAGATGCATCTTAGAGTTAGTGCAGTAGGGCACGTTCTACCTGTCTTTTTAGAAGAAAAAAGGTTTATCAAGTTATAATTACTGACCAGAACAATGCGAAGCTCATTTTCATACACGATGAGTTAAATCGACTCAGACTTTCTGAACAACTGTTAGCAAGCTGCAGCAAGACCATTAAAATATGTATACCCTTCACCCCCAATTCTATTTTTATCTTAAGAAAATCATCAGAAATAGAGATTTATGTGCATAGACGTTTCCTAGTGTTCTTTTCAATAATGTAAATTGGAAGGAAACTATTCTAGTGTTCTAGAGTAGGGATATAGTTAGTGAAATAATTTATGACGACCTACATTAATGTATGCCACCATGGAAAACATATGTTTATGACTAATTTTTGATGACATGACAATGCTCAAAGTGAAAACACAGGATTTACAACTATACATATGATATGATTTCCACTAAATATATACACACATTCATGTACATACAAAAGGAAGAAAGGAAATATACCAAGTTCAAGTAGTGCCCATTTTTCAATGCGGGGACTTTGGAAGATTTTCTTTGTCCATCATTGCCTATATTTTCCAAAACGTTTAAATTTTAATTCAGTAAATGGGAGGGGAGGGGAGGAATACACATGTAAAAGTAAAAGCAAATGACCATAGAGCATTATCAACTTTTTCTCCTAAGAGCTCCAAATTTTTTGGTGTATACGGATAGGTAGGCAGGTAATGATATGACTGACGTTAGCTCTCCACTCCACCCTTAAGAGGCACACAGATATAAGATGTAATGATAAAAACAATGGTTAGCTCCAACTTTCTACTTTAAAAATTAAACTCACAGTCAGAAGAGTCAATCTAAGATAATCTAAGTTGAACATGAAATTTTACATTAGCAGCAATTTCGGTTCAACAATTTCCATTTAATTTAATTCAGCCTGCATTTATTGAGCATCTGCTGTATTCACACCAGAAACTAAGGGAACTGCCAGACAATATTTTTTCATACTGAAGTCTTACTGTCTTACACTGATACCACATAAAGGTAGAATTCCATGTTTTTTAATATGATTTTTCTGTTTTACTTTGTAGTTTATACCTGCTCAGCTCAAATGTAAAACGTCTATTTTTCAGCGATAGTGTTTGGATAGTATAGAGTAACTTATCTGTTTTCTATTAAATGTGACTTTCTCTAGTTTGCTTTTTTTTTTTCTTCTGGTATGTCTTCTCTTGGTATTCATGCTCTATCGAAATTTTACACCATTGAGAAATATATGGATTCAATTTATAAAGAATGGTATTTTCTGTTCACTGGCTGATAACCATAAAAATCCATTACTCTGAGTCCAAGAAGTATTTTCGATTGAATATATTTCCACTCTATCACTAATTAAGATATTGGCCACTCATTTTAAAATATAATTTTTCCATTATTTCATGTTGTTACATCGTGCCAGGGTAGAAACCATTGACGTATTTGATCAGAACTGGATTTCTATCTTTACGGGAACCTTGGCATGTTTCCAGGGGTGACTATCTAGGAAATGAAACCAGAAATAGAGCAAGAAACATCACTATGCCTTCAATTCCTGACCGAATGTTTTTCTTACCATTGTCATATAAATTTTTTTGATATTGCCATTTTAAATATTTATATTCTAAAATCTACAAAGGAAAATAAATAGCACTCTAAAAATTCATGCGCAGTTATCTTAATTGGCAGAGCCAATGGAGTGGATCAAACAGGAGGAAACTTAATGAACGTAATACATTTCATTCTGCGGATCCCTTTGAAATAATTTGTCCTGCGGTCATGACCATCGTATATTTTATGTTACCCTGAAGCTATCAGTGTTTGCATTATAATGAACACTGGGGGGAACGCTTATTAAAGAGAAAGAGCTGTCACTTTGAAGATGTATCAACTGAACCCTCGAAGCACCATGAAACCCTGCTCACTTGCAAATCCTAACACGACACAAGCTATACGCTAGATGTTTTTTTTTTTTTGGTCAATAAGTTATACCCCTTTCTAATGACCAAATTACCCCAAGCAGGAGCTTGTCACCCCATGAGTGCTCCCTCCAGTTCCATGTGGGAGCAGGACGTGGTGTGCAGTGTCCTGTGGCTCCCTGCCCTGCCCCCCGTCCGCACCCATGAGCTCCTCTTGGGGAATGGTTGTCCAAGCCAAAAGGAGTGAAGAATCAAAATGAAATGTTCTTTAATGATCACATTTTCATTTCAGCTAAAAGTCATCCAGCTTGGTCATGTGCATTATTCATTATATATGGTTCCAAATAACATTTGCTCGTTTCAAGAAATAAATTTAGTCTCAAAAAATGGATTTGCCATGATTTGTGGGGTTTTGTTTTGCTTTGTGTTCATTTTGCTTTACAGTTGAAATGCGAAAGAGCCGTTCCCTAAATGTCCCAGAGGGAGGCAGCCTCTTGGAAATGAGCGTGCGTCCCGCGCCCCCGCTTTGAAGGGTTTGCTGCACCATGGTGACAAAGAACCAGGCACCCGGTGGCCCTGCCTTACCCCGTGGGCCAGTGGGGGGACTTTGAGTAATGTACTACCCTCCCTCTGAGCCTCAGTTTCTTCTTCTGTCAGAGCAGGGCAGTGCTACCAATTTTGCAGAGCTGTTAGAAGGACTGCAGGAGAGAGCATGAGCCTTCAAGCAATGGCTGATGTTAATCATGCTGGAAAATTGCAGTATGTTGTCATGACAACCGAGTGATTTCTTACAGTGGGAAACCATCATGAAGCATGATCACTTTTCTGTGTACCAAAGCACGAAATACTTCAAAATAAGTAGTTGCCTGAAATACGCAGGCCACTGATTTCAAAATGTAAAATGTCTCGCCTTTGTCGTTTGTTACTCAGATTTGTTAGCCGTGGAGTTGGAGGAGCCCGTGGGGTCTGAGTCTGATGTGCAGCTGCCTTATCTAGTTGCCAGGGGAGGATTCTTAGGGCAACAGGTGCTGCCCACACATGTGTGTGTGTGTGTGTGTGTGTGTGTGTGTGTGTCACCAGGAAAAAGTCTGCAAACCAAGCTACGCAGTGACCCTGGTACAGGTGTGCTTGGAAGGCTCTCAGACAGGCTGAGCAAGATCAGAGCTCAACTAGGGACACTGAATAATCTTCGTGATTTCAAAAGTCCACTTCAAGAGGCTTTGGGGAAAAAAGGAAAAGTCAATGCTTTCTTTTTTGTTATTTGGTTTTTACGATCTAGTGACTTGGGAACCTTCAGTTTGATTTTAAGTTGTTTTTATTATTATTGTTATTCCGCTTGTTTCTTGTCCCAGGTTATCAGAAATTAAATG